GCAAGGATGATTCAGTGATCTCTTGATTGACTTCACTAGCAGCACACATTACATGTTAGACTACAGTACTTAGTTTTGGGACCTGAGTTCATAGCTGCGCAATACCTCTCTTCCCTGCATCTATGAGATGCATCTCATAGATTTCCAGATAAAGACCACTCTTAGCAGAATCCAGGTAAGACTGGAGCAAGGACTATGTTGTGGCTGTTTGGGACAGAGTTGCAGGACATGGGCCAAGAGGTCAGCAGGAATAGTTATTTGTTGAGGGGGGACTTTGACTTGGATGGGCATGGACAGGGGCAGGTGAAGATCCACCACTGAAAGGAGATGGTGAAGTAGCTGTCCAGGGAGTTGGGAGTGGGGGTGGACTGGACTGGGTGGGGACTCAATGTCAGCCAACTGTGGGGCTCACTGATGTTTTAGTCTTGCAGGTGTTCATGCGAAGAGTTGCTTGGGCCCAACATGTCCCCACTTGGTAGTGCCTGGCTAAGACCTGAGCCACACATTACAGTTTTTACCAGCACGCTGCCTGCTTCAACCTTGGCCCAGTAACTGGTCTGTTCATGGGAAAACAGTGAAGAAATTTCTAGAAGGGATTCTGGACACCTAGGCAAAGAACCTGCCCTGGTGGCATGGGAATCGGGACAGGGAGAAGGGTGCGTGACTGAGTGGATGAGGACAACCCGGGGCCAGCCAGGCAATTTGATTGAAATCACTCTAAATAATCTGCATGTGTTAGTCCTATGTGTCAGCCCTATGTGTCAGCAATGATGTGTCTAGGCTTGATCTGAAGCCAGAAGTCAGGACCTTCTTCCGGGTCTCCCACACTGGTGCAGGGTCCCAAGGTTTTGAGCCATCCTCAATTGCTTTCCAAGGACACAAGCAGGGAGCTGAATGGGAAGTGGGGCTCCAGGATAAGAACCGGCACCCGTATGGTATCCAGGAGTGTGCAATGCAAGGACATTACACAATGGGCTACCACACTGGGCTGGCTTTTTAGCTCTCTAAACTGCTTCTGGTGCCAGCTGACATGGCATAGAGAGCCATGCATCTGGCTGCAATGCTGGCATCCCATCTGGACACTGGTTTCTGTCCTGGCTGCTCCATGTCCAATCTAGTTCCCTGTGAATGGACTTGGGAAAGCAGTGGAAGATGGCTCAAGTGCTTGGGTCCCTGTCTCCATGTGTGTGACCTGGAAGATGCTCACAGCTCCTGGCTTCAGCCTGGCTCAGCCTTAGGCATTGATGTTGGCATTCTTTTATCTCTGTTTTATCTCCTCTCTCTGTAACTCTGTATTTCACTTTCTTTTTAAGAAAGTTTTATTTGTTTTTGTTTTAATGGCAGATAATATTTACATAGAAAAAGGAGAGACAGAGAGAAAGATCTTCTATCTGCTGGTTCACTCCCCAAATGCTGCAATGTCCAGGGCTGAGCCAATCTGAGGCTATATGTCTACATGGGATGATGACATTGCTGGCAATGGCTAAACCTGCTAAGCAGCCAGGTATGAACCTGCACAAATATGAAATTCCAGGCTTGCAAAGTGAGGATTTATCCACTGTGCCATTGCACTACGGCCTATAACTCTGCCTTTAAAAGAAATATGTACCAAATAATAACAAAAACCTGACAACACTTTTTAAAAAAGAATAATTGTGCCCAGTGTAATAGCTTAGTTCAAAATCCTCACTTTGTTGGGATCCCAAGGGAGCTGAGGTTCATGTCCTGGCTGGTCTACTTAGCATCCTGGTCCTTACTTGTGGCCTGGGAAAACAAGTGAGGATGGCCCAAAGCATTTGGACCCTGACCTCAGATGGAGACCCAGAAGAAGGTCATGGACCCTGACTTCAGATTGGCTCAGCTCTGATCATTGTGGCCATTTGGGGAGTGAACCAATGTATAGAACACGTTTTCCCCTGTCTCTCCTTCTGTATGTAAATCTGTTCTGCCTTTCCAACAAACAAACAAACAAACAAACAAACAAACAAACAAATCCTTTAAAAAAAGTAGTATGCTGTGTAATGGCCATTAGAGGAAAAATAGTATCTTGTAAGTCTTTATTTATTTGAAAGGCAGAATTACAGAGAAAAGAAAGGACAGACAGAGAATCTTCTGTTCATTGTTTCATGTCCAAATGGTCAGGATAGCAAGGACTGAGTCAGGGTGCCAATGGGATGCTGATATTGCTGGTGATGGCTTAACATGTCAAGCCATGATGCTCACTCCTAGTAGAAAAATCTATTAATACCTTCTAGTCTGACAGCTAACAACCCAATACTTTGCCTTTCTCTTCATTAAGATGTATTTCTTTAATAGCTAACTTTGTGACTGTTAGCAGGTAGCCTTCCTGCTATTGAATGTACTTACAGATCTGCTGCTTTCAAGCCTGACGCAGGGCATGCACCCTCCCTGCAGGAGCACACAGTCTGGACCCACACGTGGTCTGGAAGCAACCACAGTTTGCAGTCCATGGCCAGGTCTCAACCTCAGTCTGACGGAGCTGAATCAACTTTGACGTTAATTCTCCAACCACGAGTTCAGCAGACGCATGGCTTCAAGAAACACCGGATGTGAAGAGGCCACTGGTGCCCGGTAGCAGAAGGGATAAGGGGTGAGGAATCCAGAACAGGCCTGTTATGTAGCCAAAGGGTTGGCCATGGGCCTTTTAGGTCACCCCAGTTCCATGGGGGCACCCCCTGATGCTGCCTCCGTAAAGAGGAGGAATTAGGCCATTTTTTCCCATAATTTTTTCAAAAAGTGTATACTTACATATTTTCACTTTACTTGAAAGGCAGAAAGAGGGAGAGAGAGAAAGGGAGGGAACAGTCCATCGACCATTACTGATTCCCTGTCCAAATTTTTCATGTGGCAGGGCAGGGCTTGAAGTCAGGAGCCTAGATTTTAATATAGTTTCCTCAAGTGGGTGGCAGGGACCCAGGTACCTGTGCCATCATCTGCCCTCTCCTAGGGCATGCAGTAGCAAAAAGCTGGAGAGGAAGTAGGGTAGCTGGGACTCAAACAGGGTCCATCTGCTCGTAGGAAATGCAGGCAGCCCAGACAGCCATTTAGCTACTGTGTGACCACTGTCCTCCTCTCCCCCAGCTGGTGTTGTGTTGGACACATGCATCCTGCATCTTGGTTTTGGTGCTTTCCTGGGCAGCCATGTCATGTTCACTTGTGTGCTGACTGTGAACACCAGGATATTAGCTATAGTTTGTGGACTTCCTGCAATGGATGTCTGTATCCATGCCTGTTTACTATACACACACACACACACACACACACACACACACACACACACACACGGGCTTGTACTCTGACTGTCCCCAACCCACTGTGCCCCCACCTGCTCTCTCCGCCCCTGAGATCCCCAGGGAGTCACCCACACATCTCACAATGTCTATATCTGGGGGAGGCCCTCTGGGGGAGTGGGGTGATGGGAGGGCAGGGCTGTTGGAAACTTTAGTCAAGCAGAGCTAGTGAACAGCTGCAGAGATGCCTTAGGAAAGAGTGGGCCGGAGCAAAGGAAACACTAGCATCACTGCCTGCCGTGCCCTTCTGTGGCTTTTCTGAAAATGGTCTGGTAAGTCCTGGCCCTGATCAAAGCAACAGTGACATGACAGGCAGCCCCCAGACACAGAACCCTCCATCTGGGAGGGTCCTGACAGATGCTTGCCTCTTGCAGACACACCCCATCAGACCAGCCTTGCACACATGTGCACATGCACAACAAGCATCTCTGCCTCTTTTTACACCAATATCTGAGCTGACAAGTGTGCCCTCTTGCCTCCACGACCACTCTCTCTGGAGCCAGCTATGAAAGCCTAGTCCAGGGCTCGCCGCACACACCAGCAGCCTCATGGGCTGTTAGCCTGTGGTTGGACATTTTCCTCCCTAGAGCAGCAGAAGCTTTTAGGAGGAAAGGGATGGTGTCAACCTCAAGGCCATGGGTTTTTCCTGCCTCTGTCTTGGGGTTGGTTTCTAGCGCCATCACCGGATGTAGTGTTGGGAAGTCCCTCTGTGAGGGGTGTCATCTTAGAAACCAAAATTCTAGAAACAAAACACTTTCAGGCACAGCTGCTCAGCAGGCAGTCCTTCCCTGATCTCCTCCATTAGTCATTTGGGCCCTCCTAATTCACAAGGACCTATCAGGCCTTGACACCCCACAAAAACCCGCTTCTTAGGATTGAATACGTACAGTGCAGGATGTGCTGGGGCTTTGAGGAGGAAGACCATTTCGAGCACAGTGAAACTAAAGAAATATGAAAATCTCTGTGGCTTGGACTCTGCTTACTCAGCATCCTGGCCTTCCCTGGTTTCTCGGCCTCAGTAGACTAGGCGGCTGCGGCCCTCAGTAATCCCTGGGCTACTGTTCCCTTTTCCAATCATCTGGGCATTGTGCCCAGATGTTTCCAGAGGTGCTTCAGTGTGATGGAGGAAGAGGCTGAGGGCGACTGGTGTGATCAATGGAGAGCAGAGGGGTCTATGGAGGAGTTGTGAGGAGGGGAGGAGTAAGGATGGAGGCAGGAGTGCTGACCCAGTAGTGCCAGCACCTGTGCCGCTCCCAAGGTCATTTAATCCTCACTTGTTAGTTCTCAAAATTCCCTAGTGGATAGTGGGGTAGGAGAGGATGTGAGCTCCCACTAGAGGAGCCAGCTAATTAAGATCCCCTCATGGAATTCACATCTGCTGGGAACCCCAGGATGCTGGGGAGCCAGGGTTCGACACTAGGACACCACCCCAGTTGGGTTGGGAGGTGGAGGAGGCTACCCTGGAACAACACCCGGGTTGAATGCCTGTCATCAATTCCCCACAGAACAGCAAACTACTTACCCACCCACCCACCCACACACACACACACACACACACACACACACCCCTAGGTGACAGGACTAGTCAGGAGCATAGTTGTCCCAGAGCCAGCACTGCCACAGCAGGTGGGGCAGGAGGGGTCCTAATATACCCAGTGTCCCTCTTCCACTGTGGTCTGTGTCCAGTGATGTCTCTGCTTCACTGAGCACATCTCTCAGAAACACTGTCACATCTTCCTCTTTTGTGACTGTAAGTCACAGGGTCAAGTGCGGAGCAGTGCAATCACAGAAGGAACTTGGAATCATAGAGGCAAGCTGCTCTAGAGTGAGCAGAGTGGGAGAAGAGAGGAGTTTAGGTGAGCAAGCAGGAACTGCTAGAGCGAGGGGTGCTGGGAGGAACAATGTCAGAAACCATCACCTATGCAGATGTGCAGTTCATGAAAGCTCTGAGGAAGAACACCTCCAACCCAAGGCAGGGTAAGTGCTTATGCAGTCCCTTCCTCCATGTGAGGCCACAAACCCAGGGCTCCAGCCCCACCATGACTGGACCCTTCTCTCTCCTCTCCTCTCCTCCCCTTTCCTCTTCCCTCCTTCCCTCCCCTCCCCCCCTCCTCTCCTTTCCCAGAGTTCGACGAGGATGGGGATCTCACCTATGAGAACGTACAGGTGCACTCAGCCCCAGAGGCGCCCACAGGCCTGACGCTGCCCCCTGAATCAGAAAACCAAGCAGGTATGGTAAGCCCAGAGGACATGTGCGTGTGTGTGTATGTATGTGTGTGTGTTCAGTGCATTCAAGTCCACAATGGTCTCCAGAGGATTCTATCCTAGTTTCATAGAGGAGAAGGGAAGCGAAACTGGGGTCAGGTGCCAGCAGCATCCCAAAGCAGGATACAATCCTTCTGAGAGCTGGGCAGGGTGCTAGGGCAGGGGATGAGACAGCCCAAGAACTGGTCAAATGAGGAATGGGGAACCACAGGGGGAAAGGGAAAGGTAGATACAACGACAGCTGTCATTCGGGAGGAGAGTTGGGGATAACCCCTCCCCACCAGAGGAAACCACAAAGGGAACCTCCAGAGAGACATGATGGGGTCCCTTCTGGGAAGACCAGGGGTGATACATTGGAGGAGCCTGTGGTGACCAGTAGCCACATGGATGGTGAGGGCATCTCAGAACAGTAAGAGCAGGGGGCAACAGCAGGGCCATGGGGTGGGGGTGGGTGGGAGCTCTGGCGGGAGGCTCTGAGGCTCCATCCAAACTTCTCTGCTGCCACTATCACTTTTTTTTCCCCCAGCAGCTGAGGCAGAGCAGCCAGCCGCATCCTGCAGCAAAACCATGCCCACAGCTGCCAGGCAGATGCTCCCCTGTGAGTACCAAACCCTGGCCAGCATGGTGCCTGGGAAGTGGGAGAGATAGTGTGGGTTGCATGCAAGGTGAGCTTACATGGCCCCTCAGTGTGCCTTGCCTGGAGATGAGCTTTCCCGTGTGGCCCCACAGGCACACAGCACCCCTGGGAATTTTACATTTTTTTTGCTCTTCATCCATTTCTCTTTTGAGGGTTGGTGCCCCTTGCTAACAGGCAATGACCCTACATCTGCCTTACCAGAAACAACCCCAGCCCTTATTAAGAAACATTCTCCCTCTTCACTTTCAAAATGCCAAGGCACCCAGGGGCTGCCCACCCTCCCCCCTCTGCAAGCGTCTCCTAGGGGTGCTTTCTCCAAGGTCCCACTTCTACCCCAGTCCCTCACTTCTCCTCCCTCCCTCTGTGAAGGTCATGGCCACCCTTGCTACTCACAATGCATCCTGCTCCTCACCTGCCTGCTGCTGGGAGTGGCTGCCATCTTCCTGGGCATGCGATGTGAGTATGGCTGACCCTGGCTCCCCACCTACCCCAAGCCATGTCATACCCTCAGCTAGCCTTGCTCAGTGCACCCCATAGCCACATTGCTTACATCCTCAGCTTGGGGACTGGTTTCCCGTGCCGTCTGCTCACAAGCACCCTGTCTTCCTTAATCTCCCAGATCCTGGGGTTCAGATGTCATATTTCATCCCTGTGCTGGGCAATGTTGAAAGATACAGAATAGGGTGCTGATGGCATAAATCAGGGCTCGAGGGCATGGGTGCAGCAGGTGTTCACACCCACCTCCCCAACCCTCCCTGTGGCTGCTCAGATCTGCAGACATTCCAGCAGCTTGGGCAACTGAGCAGAGTGCTGGAACATACCAACAGCAGCCTTCAGGAGCAGCTCCTCCTTGGAAAAGTCAACCTGGGACAGATAGAAAAGGACCTGCAGGACACCAAGGAACAGCTGGCCCAGAGCCAGAAAGCACTAGAAGAGGAGCAGAGGGCACACCAAGCTGCCAAGGAGCAGCTGCCGGTCTGCCAGGCAAACAAGGAGAAGACACAAGAGACCTTGCAGTCTGTGCAGCAGAAGCTGAGCCCCCTGCAGGACAAAATGAGGCCCTTCTTCACCTGCCCCTCACAAGGTACCTGCTCTGGGCATGGAGGAGCTGGCTGGGCATGATGGGTTCAGGCGAGGGGCACCACAGGCAGGGATCTGGGAGCACTCAGGAGGCAGTGAGTTGTCCGGGAAAATGGCGGTGGAGCAGAGCTGGGATGAAATGGCCCGTAGCTGCCAGCTAACAGAGAGAAGGTTGAAGTTGCACACTGGATCTAGGAGCACCTCCTTACCTCCAAGGGTAGCAGCCCACAGTTTCACTTCATGGACAGCAGTAGAGGGAGCCTGGAACTCATAGCATTTGAATGTTCAGTTGATTCATCTGGTTTCAAAGGACATAACTTCATTTAGTCTTTGCTCCTGAAAAGGCGGCCTGTAGTGAAGAATCACTGGCTGCTCAGGTGCAGGCTGGTAGGAGGCAAGGTGGCTGAAGTCCACATGGAGCCATGTCAATGAGGTGGGTGTGTGGAGGGTTAGTGGATTTAGGGGGAGGCAAATGTTATCCTCCATCTATCAATTTTGAAAGTAGTGTTGGGAGAAGAGACACATGGGTGGGAATGGCCAGGCTGCACTCAGGCTGGGATCCTAGGAAAGGAGCCAGAGGCTACTGGAGCTGGTGCATGCAGGCCTTGTGAGTGCGGTCTGGGTTAGGCTCTGTCTGTCTGCCAGAGCAGGAAGAGTGCGTGCAGACACCTCCATCTGTCATTTCCTCAATCTTCTGCTCTGTGCTATGAGGTCCCACACCCGGGTTGCCCCACTGTTCCCACATTATCCTGCACTGAAAGTTATTATCTTGCACTGAAAGAACAGCTGTGGATGCCTACTCTGTTTTCTTCCACCCCACACCTCTGCCACCTCACAGAGCCCTGCGACTTGCTGGCACCTCCTTTTCTTTCTGTCCGTTGCCGCCTGTCCTCACTTCTTTCCCTGCCCGTGCTGGGGTTGGGTTCTAAGTAAGCACCAAATTGCTCACTCCTTTGTCGAACATCCTTTGTGTGTGCTTACCTGGCAAGATCTGAGCTCTGTATGAACCCCGCTGACCACTGCACCTAGGGGTGCACCATGTTGTACCATTCTGTGACACTGTTCTGCCTGGTGCCACTGAGACTTTGATTGCCAAGCACTGCCTGTTGACCTTGGCTGCTTCCAGCATAGCTCCCTGCAGCACCCCTCTTTCCTCCTGTATTCTACAGATACCCTCATGTTGTGCCCCAAGACATGCATGTTGTGATGCTAAGTCTGCGGAATCATTTGAATTTTTGCTGATAAGTATCTTGAAATTGTTCCCTAACCATCTTTCTTATTGCAGCCAGTGAAGTCTTTCAAAAACAAAAATCTGCTCATGTCATCCTGGTCTAGACCTTGTCATTTTAGTTGCTTGATCACAGTTTAAAATGTGGCAATGATTTGAATGTGTGGTGGCAACTGTTTTAGGCAGCAAAGAGAAGAATAATTAGGTGAGAGCCAAATGGATGGCTGTGGGACAAAAGTGAGCCTGGGCATAAATTGGGATGTATTGTAAAGTGTTCAGAAATGAGGGGGTGGGTAAGAGTAGAAACATGGGTGTTACGGAAACTTTCTGAGTGTTAGGAAGTGATGCAACTGAGTGTGAAGGCCTTTTACTTAGTATATATAGACAGGGCATTTTCTGTGTTGGAGGAGGCAGAGCTGAGAAGGATTGTAGACATTTGTTACCAGACATCCACAGGGGTGATGGCCTTGGACCCAGAGGTTTGCAGGCAAACCTTTCATCCTAGGCGGTGTTCCTGTCACACTCTTCCTGCTTTTTAGACATCTGCTGTGCGGTCGGCTGGATACCCACCCAGGGAAGATGCTTTCACGTCTCATTCACTGAGAGAAATTGGCAGAGTAGCCAGGAGTACTGCAAATCTCTGTCATCCAACATGGCCACACTCAGAGATTCTTCTTGGGGTCGTTTTTATTATGAAGTAAGTGAACTGAAGGGGGGGCATTTGATAGAGACGCAGCATCAGATTAAGTCTGGTAGTGCATGCCAGTCCCATGGCTTGGTGGACAAGGACAGTCACGATCCTCAGCACCGAGTAGCCAGCAGCCTTTCCACCCAGTGGCATGGCACAGCACTGTGGGTGGTCGCTCCTCATGAACCCACATTGCAGGAACTGTTAGCTGGCTGACATGTGGTCTTGAGGTGCACAGGGCCCAGTAACCAAAGGTGGTCAGGGACCACAGGCAGGCATTGACCTGTCTGTCACCTGTCACCCTCATCCTTGTCCTTGGCATGCGTCTTTGTCCACCCACCTGTGCTCTCTGAATCTCCCCTCAGCATTCTCCCTGGAAGAGCTTGTTGTCGCAATTATCCAAGGACACTTCCTTTTGGGTTGGCCTCAGCTACAACAAGGGCTGGTGGTGGAGTGACGGCACGCCGTATAATGGGTGAGTTTGCGTAGAGTTTTCAGTGTTTCCAGCTCTGTGTCATCTTCTCATGAAGGCATATCAAGGCAACTTTCTCCTTAGGTCGTGATTCCAGAACGTTTCCATTAGTTAGTATGACAATCGCCTATTTGTTTTCCTCTATTTAATAATGTTTTGGTGGGGGGGGAGTCTTAGTCTTCATTCTATTCCCTAGTATCCAGAAGACCCTTGTTCTGTAAAATAATGAAATAATTATTAGGTTGGGCTCAATTCCTCACTGAGAGGGAGAAGCTGAGGTTCAGCCCGCGTTTTGCCCTTATGGGAAACCAGTGGGCATTCTAACTTGCCATCAACTGAGGCTGCGCTGTACCAGTTAGGGCCACTGGGGGCGCTAGAGCAGTGCCAAGGAACTAGAGCAGAGGGTGAGTCCTGAGACAAGGTGGCCACTTGCTTGTGTTCCTGGTAACTGGAGTGCATCTGTCCTTGAGACCTTGGATAACTGACTCTCCAGCCTTTACACTTGGCATCAGATGTCTATTCCTGAGCTGTGTGCTAGGCAGGCAGAGTTTATTGGGACTGGTACTAGATTCATTGCAGGGCTAGGGGTCACACGGTAAGATTCAGTAATCTCTCAGTTTGATCTTCCCCCTGCAGGTTTCATTATTATATTTCAAATTGTGCCATGTTACAGTACAATGAATTATGGTCTCTGCAGCAAAAAGCATGTAGTTCCCCTCTTCCCTGCATCTGTGAGATGGCATCTTTCAGGTTTCCAGATGGGAATCACTCTGCATAATCCAGGTAAGAGTAGAGCAATGTCTGTGGTGTGGTTGGTCTAGTGTGAGGGGTGCATGGCAGGATCCCAGCGATCAGGGGAAGAGTGCTTCCTGGGGGCGGGGGCCCGTGGTTGGTTATACATGGGCAGTAAAGATGAAGACCCTGCATTGAAGGCAGCTGGTGTAGTGGCTCCCCAGGGGGCTGGAGGTGGAGATTTAGTGGGCTAGGTGAGGGTTCCATGGCAGCCAACTGTGGAGCTAGCTCACTGATGTTTTACTCTGCAGATGTTCATGCCAAGAGATTTCTGGGTCATCCCCTCTGACCTGGAGGCCTTCAGTGCCCAGCATTTCCTCACTGGACAGTGCCCAGCCGAGGCCTGACCCACAACTGACACTTATAGGCAGCTTGCTGCATGCTTCAAACCACAGTCTGAAAATTGGTCTGTTCCTAGGAAGAGGGTGAAGAAGCTTCTGGAAGAGATTCTGCACACCATGGCCAAGAACCTGCTTGGATGGCATGGGAGTGGGGGCAAGGAGGAGGTCACAAGGGCTGAGTGGATGAGGGCAGCCCAGAGCCAGCCAGGCAGTTTCACTCAACTCGGTTTAAATAACTTTCAAGTGTTGGTCTCATGTGTCAACAATACTGTGTGTGGTTGCGTGAGCCTCAGAGAGCGAGTCCAACGGTTCAGTCAGCCAAGTGCTCTGTCCCATGAGTCCATGCCTAGGCTCACCAGTGTGTACTGAAGGCCCCACTGCTAAGATTATGGCCCTAGCAGAATTGCCTGGTCGTGTGTTGTTGGGCATATTGCCGTTGGTGTCAGAGGAGACTGGCTGCCTCCCTGTTGAGTTTGCAGTGTTGGGTGACAGCCAGCGTGAGGGGTAGGTACATGGAGGAAGCTAAAGCTGAAGGGGCCGAGGCAGCATCTGGGGATAGGGCAGCTTGTTCTTGGGCTCCCAAGGAGCTGTGGGTGATGGAGAGGGGTCTGTCTGCTCTCAGGGTTTAAACCTGCCAGCAGGCCCTGAGGTCACTGAGGGTGAGGCAACAGAGTTCTTTCACTACAAGAACCACTGTTGACAAGTTGGTGAGAAATGTCTGCTTTATTGTGTACAAGTTACAAGTTTCAAAGGTTAAGGAAGGGGGGAGGGCAGGAGGGCATCTTCTGGAAGTCTCTCTGCCCACCAACGATGCTGTAATTGGCTATAAGGCGCATCTATTCCCTTTGACCTTCTAGTCATGTCAGAGGTCATGTTCCACATGCAGAGTTGGGAGCTCATGGGCAGGTAAGCGGTGAGCCACCTCCACCAGGCAGCAAGGCAGGGGCCAGGTGCAATTGCCCATAGTCTGCTCCAAGGCCACAGTCTGAGGCAGGCTGTGCTGAGCATGGTGCTAGGGCTCCCTCTGCAGGGAATTCACCACAACAGCTGGGAGGTCCAGGCAAAGTCCTGATCTGGGGGCCCAGGGCTGGGAGGCAGAAGAGCAAGTGCTGATGAATTGGTGTGTGGCCATGGCCAGGGGACCGTGGTGGCCAGGACTAGAGGTTCTTCTTCTGGGCTGCTGCCCTCATATTCCATTCTCTCCTTGACAGCGGGCATCATGGTGGGAGCACCAGGGCTTGGCAGTGTAATCTCCGTGTACCCAGGGAGCTCAGGGAATGAGGGCAGCAAGCGGCAGCAGTGGGCGGGATGCCCAGCTGGATCAGGTTCTTTGCAGTTGTCATCATGGGCAGCTGGGCAGAGGGCATTGATGATGGAGTTTCAAGGGCAAGGGGATGAGAAGCCTCCTGGGTGTCTCCAAGAACTTGATCTTGCTGCCCCTGTGGTTTTTGGTAGCAAGAAGGGGTTAACTTGAGTCAGATGGTCACCCCAGCTGGGGGGGCGTTGATTCTGGTGAGGGCCAATCAGCTTCAGGAGTGCTGGGGGTCTGACCTAGGAAGCATGGCGGAGGAACCCCCTTTTGGCACAGCCCCTGCAGATGGAAAAGTCCATGAACTGTGTTCCCTTCCCTGGCAAAGTTTCCCTTGTGCCCCCTTTTCTTCTAGGAGCTTGGTGGAGCTGGAGCTAAGAAAAGCAGTCTCACATCCAGTCCCCTAACCCGCCCCCTCCCTTCTGCTGCTCCCTTAGACTCTTACTTTGGAAAGCATAATCTTGTTTGCAACTCTCTCCTACTCACACTCCCTCATTGATTTCTGGCCTGTTCAACTACTAAATACACTCAGCTGCTTTCCCCAGGTTGTGCTCAGGAGTTCTGAGGAGGAGAGAGGCAAAGGGATTCCTTGGGGCTCAATGTCCTTCTTACTCACCCAAAGAGGATGTGAGGACACTCCTGGTGAGGAGGTAGTTCAGGCAACTGCTCCAGGATCCACTCCAGGTGCTGGGTGATTTTGGTGAAGGGAGCACAGGTACTGGGCTCCATCTGATGTGAAGACAAAAGGCATACTTATTATTTCTGGGATCAGCCCATCCTTTCCCCATCACCTGGGGGCACCTGGACAACTTTGGGCAACCAGGAAAGCTCAGAGAGGACAGTGAGGTGGTTATGCTGCAGCAGTAAACAGCCACAAGCAAGAAAGCTACTTGGCAGTCATACCCCACCAGAGTGCGGAATGCAGGTAGGTCCAGACCAAAGTCCTGTATTGAGAGGGGAGGCACCTCCAATTAGCCTTCCTTGGGGTCTCTGCCTCCTCCAAGCACCCAGTAGTCATGGTGTTTGCCTCTAGGGGGCCCATCCAGCATGCAGATCTCATTCTTTACAACCTAGAACCTTGGTCTGGGATAAGTAGTCAGGATCCGCAGGTACTCGGGGGATGAGCTCATACAGGAGGATCAGGAGGGCAAAGATATCAGCCTGCTGGGAGGAGAGGGTTAGGCCAGTTTGCTTTTGACAAATGTCCTGTTACTCTGTAGTTAAGGCACCATGCCAGCTCTGCTGAGGCAGAGACTGCCTGTAAGAGGTGGAAACTCAGGATCCTAGGTCCCTTGGAAGTATCCCAGAGAAGTCTGATCTGTTCTCAGCAATAGGATGTCAGGCCAGTGAATCCCAAAAGGCCTGCCTCATATCTTCTGTAATTCAATCCATTAGGGTCAGAGGAGGGCGGGGAAGATGTGAGTCACAGAGCACACTTAGGGTCCAGAACTAGCTCAACAGCAAGGGGTTGCCTTTGGGAAAGGGGTGTAGTGTGGGTATGTTTGGGAATGAAGCTGTAGTCCCATGGGCAGTCTGTTGTCAAAAGCATCCCAGTCACCTGGTCTGTTAGATAATGAGCTGATAATCTAATGAGCTCAAATTTGTAGGACAAGTGAGTTGCACTTGCTAGAATCCCCTTGAGTGTAAAGGCCTGCTGACTGCCTCTCCCTTGAAAGTTCTGCCCATCAACTCTGCTTTAAGCAAGGACTCCTTCCACTTGACAATGAGGCCTTCTCCTTCTTGGAGCTAACACCTCACTACTCAATATTGTTGAACCCTGATCATTGATCCCTCTGACATTTCATTCCATGGGTAAAGTAATTGTTGTCCTTTCTGGTGTTACTTGCATCCTGAGTTGTACCTTCTGTGCTTCCTTTCAGCTGGTGCCACCCAGCACCCTCAACACAGGACCAAGGAAAGGCCCTGGGGCAAGTCTCAGGGACCCTTGGCACTCCCTGGATGCAGTGACCCCTGTGTGAAGGTTCCTACTGGGTATGGGTGGCCTGTGTCTCTTCTTCCCACCCTGAAGCATGGTGACGTACTTCACAGAATCCTGTGATAAAAATTTGTGCTCATTGTGTCTCCAGCATGCATGCCTTTGATTGAGATATAGACTATCTTGCATTTTGCACATAAGAAACGGAGACGTGTCCAGTCACCCAGATTGTGAAGGCAGGGCATCACTTGCCAGATCATTGTCTTGCCTTTATATCACACTTCCTATGTGGTTTAGGAAATGCAGCTATCACTGCTCTAACAAATGACTACAAACCCAGCACCCTCAATATTGGGAATTTATTTTCCTCTTAGGGAACTGGAGTTGAGAATACCAACACAGGTGTACCCAGACTAAAATTAAGCTGTGCCCAGGGCTGGTTCCCTTCCAGAGACACATGGGAAACCAACTCCCTGCCTTTTCCAGCTTCCAGAAGCTGCCTGCATCCCTTGGCTGCTGGCCCCCTTCACCTTCAAAGCCAGCAAGTGCCGTGGGAGTCCTCCTCATGTCATACATCTCTGACCTTCTGTTCCTCATCCAGTCAATATCTTTCTTTTCAAGGCTGGCTGGGGTGTGGTTGGCAGATTGATGAGAATCAAACAGGGCAATTTCCCTATGTAAGGAGCCTTCACTTGGTCCTGTGTATATACATGCAGTAAGTAGCATGAATATCTTGGTGGATCGAAGTTGGAATGCTCAGCATCTGGGCCTTCCCTTGGTTCTTGGCCTCAGCAGAATAGGAGGCTGCTCCCTGCCCAAACCACTTAGGCGTCCTGCCCAGGTGTTGCCAGAGGTGTGCCATGATTTGGTGGAGGAAAGGGCTGAGGGCCAGAGAGAAGCTGTGAGGAAGGGAGGAGGTAGAGAGGAGGCAGGAGGAGCCGACCCAACAGTGTTGGTCCATGTGCCTCCTCCCAAGGCCATTTAATCCTCATAAAGGACTTCGTAGTGGCTGCCTGTGTGAGGCATCCTAACTTGTTAGTTCTCAAATTACCTGATTGGAAGATTGTGGCAGGGGAAGGGATATGAGCTGCCATTGGAGGAACCAGCTAATCAAGACCCCTTTATGGAACTCACATCTGCTGGAAACCCCAGGATGCTGGGGAGCCAGGGTTCCACACCAGAACCCCACCCCAGTTGAGTGTGGAGGAGGATGGAGCTTCATCCTGGAGCAAGAACAGGTTTCAGTGTCTGGCATTAGTTCTCCACAAAGCAATAACTACTTACACACACACACACACACACACACACACACACACACACACACATCCTACGTGGCAGGGCTGAGCAAGATCAGAGTTCCCAGCCCAATCTGCTCACAAGCACCCTGTCTTCACTGATTGATTTTCAGGCTTTAAGGGATAAAATGACATTTTTCAGCCCTGTGAGGTGGCAGCATTGCAAGACACAGGATAGGGGTTGTGTGGTATACTGTCAGGGCTCAGAGCACAACTGCAAAAGGTATTCATGCTTGCCTCCCCACTTCTCCATGTGGGCACCCAGATCTGCAGGTGTCTCAGCATTTCTGGCAGCTGAGCATGCTCCTGGAAACCATGAACAGCAGCCTGCAGGAGCAACCCTACCTCAGAATTGTCCAACTGGGGCAGAGAGAAAAGAACCTGCAAGACTCCAAGGAACAGCTGGCCCAGAGCCAGACAGCACTAGAGGAGAAACAGATGGCACACCAAGCTGTGCTGGACCAGCTGCAGGTCTGCCAAACAGACAGGGAGAAGACGCAGGAGACCCTGCAGGAGGAGGAGGTGCAGAGGTAAGCTATGCAGCAGAAGCTGAGCCACATGCAGGACATACTGAGGCCCTTCTTCACCTGCCCCTTTACAAGGTATCTGCTCTGGGCACAGGGGAGCTGGAGAGGTTGGGCATGAGGGAGCCAGGCAAGTGGGTGATGGGGGCAGGGGTATGAGAGCACTCAGGAGACAGCGAGTTACCCAGGAAATAGGCAGTGGAACAGAATTGGGGCTCAAGAGCTTTAGCCACCAGGCAACAGGGAGAAGAGTCAAGTTGCAC